GCCCCCCCCACCTCACTGACCAATCTGTGCCACTGCCTCTCTCTCTCTCTATTTCTGATTTCACTTCCCCCCCCCCCCCCCCACCCCATTTCTGAAGAAGGGTCCTGACCCAAAACGTCAACTTTCCTACTCCTCTGCTGCGCTCCTCCAGCTCCACACTTTGGCATTTATACATCTGTAATTAGTTATAATGATGAAATTGTAAATAATGGGTGCCATTTCCTGTAGGGAATTTGGGAGTTCTAATTAAAATTAAATCAAATCATATGCCCATTTTGATTGATATCTGTTCATGTCAAATCAGTACGGTCAGTCAGTGAAAAGCTCACAAACAGTAGGGCCCCAAGGGAAGTGATGAGGTAATGTCATATTCCTCTGTTTTAAGTGTGTATATTAAAGTTTGCCAACACTTAACTATAATTCATTGTAAATTAGAAACATTACAAATGTACAATCCAGGAAGTATTTCAGTCTCTAATGTGATTTATTTTTGCCACAAAATGCATTGGAAAAAAGCAACCAAGCTAATCGCATTATCGATGCCCTAGCTATAATCTTTCAGAGTTCCCTAGTTACAGGAGTCATTGGAAAATTACAAGTCACATAATGGTTGATGATAAAATCTCCATAGTCTTACCAGAATAGCAGGCTGCTCTCTCAACAGAAAGGGGCAATAGTGGTGCTTTGACCTGAGGATCACCACTGGTGAAGGGAGAGGCTGAGAAGAAGAGTTATTCATAGAATCTTCAACCAGTGTGGGAATTGAACCCGCACTGTTAGCACTATACTGCATTGCAAACCAGCTAACTGAGCTAACCAAACCCCTAGGTTGAGGATAAATTTGAACAATTGCCTCAAATTACAATAAGGCATTTAAATGTTGACTTTTATCCTATCCTAAGCTTAATTTTAAACTCATTTTAACCTCTTGTGATTGGAAGAAAATCACATTCTAGTTGGTTAATCTCTCAAATTATATACAGGTTATTTATGTCCTGAGAACAAATGTATCTAGTTTTCATTTCTAACCTTACTCTGCCATCCATTATTTATGCTATAGTTTTGTATTATGGGGGAGGGGAAAGAGTATTGGAAACCTACTAATGTTCATAAAAACTAAGAATCTATGGTCCTGTGAGATCAGTTACCAAGAGATGCACACAAGGATTTGAGCAGCTTCTAATGATTGATCATTGAAGGATGGGGGAAAAAATGCCGAAGCTACATTTATTAAGGCACGGGTAAAGGACATCAGGGGAGACCTGAAATTCCTGACCGGGATGTGGCAAATAACATAGCAATGGAAACAGCAGTAAAGTAAATCAGAGGAATAATTAGATGAAAAACTAAGCAAATTATATATTTGAAAGTAACATAGGTGAAGTGTTATAAACAGTACATCAGTATAATTCTGAAATATTTAGATTTCATTGTCTCTTTAATTTATATATTACTTTTGCATAAGAGGACACAACCAGTGTCAGTTCAAATGAGAACACACCAATATGGATGTGGTAGTTGTCAACAAACTGTATTCTAAGATGTCAAAGAACAACTGAGAAATTTCTCCTAAAAATGTCAGCATGAAATTTCTGTCTACAAAATAATATTTTCTGTTATCATTTTTTTGAGCACAATTGTATCAATAATTTCCAGGATAAATTCCATGACTGTATTTACAAGGTGTAAACTTGTCATGCTGTAATTGCAAGTTCCTGCTAGTGGTGGTACACCTCTACTGCAGGATCACTTAACAAACTGAAACTAACTCCTGCTGAAATCTCATGAGATTTTGCCATTTGATTTAAATATAAACTAGAGTTTCATATAAATAAGGCATAATATTTGACTTTAGAACAGTCAAAAATACAACTGTATGTCCTGATTCAAATTGCCCTCTGGTTTGACTTCATCTGGAACCTACTCCAGTCTTGATTAGGTTATACCCATGAGAGAAGCACAAATCCTGCTGAATAGGAAAGATACAAAGACCAACAAAGGGCCACAAAGCAGCTCATAAGAGTTCCTGAAAGGGGTTATGAAAGGAAACTTGCCAGGGAAATCAAAATCAATAAGAAGAAATTTTATAGTTACATAAAGGGAAAGCAAGTAGTCAAGAGCAATGTTGGCCCAATAAAAACTGGAAGTGTAATATTGTCAATAACCATGGAGAAATGGCAGAAATGTTGAATAATCACTTTGCCTCCATATTTACAGTAGAAAAGGAGGATAGCTTGCCCGAAGTCCTGAGGAAGTTAATAGTGGATTAGGAACAGGGACTGAATAAAATTGATGTAAGTAAAACATTGGTAATGAGGAAATTAATAGAAATCAAAGAATGGCAAATCCCTGGGACCTGACGGTTTCCATCCAAGGGTGTTAACGGAAGTAGGGAACCACATTATAGATGCCCTAACTATAATCTTTCAGAGTTCCCTAGTTACAAGAGTCATCCGTCTGGGTTGCAAAATTACAAATCACCCTTTCTTTAGAAGGGTGAAAGTAATTACAGACCCGTTAGCCTAACATCTGTGGTGGGGAAATTGTTGGAGTTTATAAGCAAGAATGGGGTAATTGGATACTTTGAATTTTTTGTTTATTGGGCAAAGCCAGTGTGGATTCATGACAGGTAGGTCATGCCTGACAAAACACTTGAATTTTTTGAAGAGGTGACTAAGGCAGTGGACAGAGAACTATCTGTGGTTGTTGTTTGTTAAATGCCTTCCAGAAGTCCATATAAAGTCTGATATCAGAGACTGTTAACTAAGCTAAAAACCCAAGGAACTGAGGGCAAGTTGCTGACATAGCTGGGAAATTTGGTTGAGTGGCAGGTGACAAAGTAGAGATAATGGGTAGATATTCAAATTGGCAGGATGTCACCCTCGGGATCCCACATGGATCGGTGTTAGGGCCTCAATTATTCACATGATTTATCAATGATTTGGATAATGGCATTGGAAGTCATATATCCAAATTTGCTGGTGGCACAAAGTTAGGCAGCACTGTAGAGAGTGTGGATGCTTATCAATATCCCTTTGTAACTTCATGCTAAGTGAATGGGCAAAATTGCAGCAGGTGGAGTTCAATGTAAGCAAGTGTGAGATTATCCATTTTGGACTGAAAAAAAATAGATCATGTACTTTCTAAATGGTTTTAAATACAGTGGAGTTCCAAAGATACTTCGGGGTTCAGGTACATAGACCTTTAAAATATCACGAACAAGTGCAGAAAATAAAGCTAATGGGATGCTGGCTTTTATGACTGGGGGACTGGAATGTAATGATGCAGAAGTTATGCTGCAGTTACACAAAATCCTGGTTAGATCACACTTGGAGCACTGAGCAGATCTGGGCACCACACCTTAGGAGGGATATATTGGCCTTGGAGGGAATACAACATAGGTTGACAAGAAAGATACCTGGACTTC